ATCCATACATTTATACATCCATACATTTATACATCCATACATTCATACTTCCATTCATTTATACATCCATACATTTATACATCCATGCATTCATCCATCCAAACAGACACATCCATACATCCATACATACATCCATCCATCCATCCATCCATCCATCCATCCATCTAAACAGACACCAGACTTGTGGACTATATGTATATAGTAAGGGTTACAGGACATAGAGACAGGTGTTGATTAGGGCTATAGTGCGTTTCGTAAGTATAGGATTTACAATACATATAAGCAGCCAAACAGATGAGTTTGAAGCACTACCATCAGATTCACCACCCTGAATAACCCCCACTCACGGACATTTTCCAAATCAACTTTTACCACAGCGTTTTTATCAATAATTTTTGGTTCTGCACCGTTTCAAGAGTGTAAGATCGATTTGAGAATTAAAAAATTAACATTAGTAACGACAAAAAAACAATTATTAGTCGATGGGTCCTCCTTGTTCTAGCCCAGCATGGAGTAGCCTACATGGCATGCCCAAAACAAGGTTGCGAAGTACCTCGCTGGAGATTTCATTTCTAGATTCGGTTATTGCCTGCTTGAGCTGTCGTCTGAAACTGACAATTGTTCGCATAGGCCTTTCTTATATTGATGCTCTACAGATTTTCCATCGGGATCAGATTGGTTCTGAAAACTGGCCATGTCAGCATTTTGATATCCTGGGATTGCAACCAGTCTCTCGTGGAATGACTAAGGTGGTCGTAGCATTGTCCTGTTTGAAAAGCAGTTAAGACCACTTCGTCGGCTCAGAAATAACACATGTGCCATTGTAAGGCTTCCTGAAAGCCCTTGGAGTCCATTTCGGAAATCACGAGAGCAAGCTCCATCCCGACATCTTTGCAGAAGGCACCTCGTACCATAACACTTCTTCCTCCAAAGCTGCGACGACTTGAGTTGATTGGCTCTTTTCTTATGTCATGCCAATAGTAGTTGTAACCATCGGGGCCTTCCAAACTAACTATCGCCAAAAAATGCGACCTGAACGAGAATATTGGACTGTATGGCTAATGGTTAAAACAGGCTGATTTTCGTCCAATCTCATCCCAAATTCAACTTCGCAACTTCAAGTTGTGCTTTCCTGTATGCTGCACTAGATTTCGGAACCTTCTTGCTGTCGAGGATGATCCTATACTTATGAAACGGCAAAAAAAAATCGAAGACAATCTATATAAATGCTAATATAAAAATTGAGTGATGAATCTTATGGTGGTGCCAGAAAGATATTTGCTTGGCTGCTTATCCTATAAGTACCAAATTCGAGGGTGATCTGATACAGATGAAACGCACTGTATAATGCCATAGAGGCATTAAGTGAATGTTAGGATTGCGTCCAGTTGCCAGCATTCTGGATAAGCAAATGTTCCAGTCGATGTTGCTGCAAGAATCCACACCATTGCACCATGTTTCATTGTTGCCAAGTGTTTTTCAACGTTCCACTTTAGAAAATCTCTGTAGTCTCGTGTGGTAATATTCTGAGGAAATCCATAGAGCGGCTCCCACATATCGGACTTCGTAGAGACGATCGGAGCAAATTTCGAAAGGTTATCCTTGATCTGCTGAATTAGAACACACTTGTCGCCACATCCCTTTCGTTGAGTTGCCATGGGCAATGCTTAAAAAGTTCAGATTCATTATATAAAACAAAAACCATACGCCTCTTGTTCTCCTTGTGCTTGTTATGGTAGTTGTGAACGTGGCGTGTTGCCTCCCTTTCTCTCGAATTGTAGTTGTGAGTGCGAGGGGGCTGTTATTGAGCAGGTTGCTCTGATTCTGATGAGTTAAGCCAGTGGGATGGGTAGGTTAACTGCACGACGGATTTTTCTTCTTCTTGTGGTGGTTATTAATTCTGCTTCCCGTATGGCTCCATCGTTGCCCTGAGTAGCCCTGCACGAACTTTTACGACCATCTTTCACTCGCTCCTCGGAAGCACAGGGTTGCTGACTAATGTCAGGCCACATCTCCTGCGGATGGCGTGACGCCGCTATGGCGTTGATTTGTGAGGCTTTTTATGAGTTCTCGAAGAGATATCAAGTATTGTTGTTGCCAAATAGTCCAGAAGCCTTCCCTTCTTTCTCGCGAAGAATTGAGCGCTTCCAGTGCTTGTTGTCCAGTTTGTATTGCATGAAGGCAGTCTGGGGGAAGATAGCCCGGGTCATGTGTTTCCGATTCAGTGACCTAATGTGATGCAGAGATCCCTGTCGCGTTGAAGAAAGTCGATTGGACGGTGCGACGTAAATTCTTCTTGAACGGCGCTTTGATACGTAAAGGGGCGTGAATTAAGACAGACTTCCACCTTAATTAGGAGTGTGTGAATATCGCGAAGGAGTACGTTTCCGAGTTCCTCAAAGCTTTGCGAATTCCATATCTTACTTATTTGATCAGACGCTCGTAAAACCGTTGCCAAGGTGCGTAGGGTGCTATGTGCCTCCGCTGTATCTCTTCTTTAGGAAACTACGAGATCATAAATAATGCAATTATGAAGTTGTATTCCTCAAATTCGGGCGAGGCGCGTACTCAGCATCACTAGACCTAGTAATCAGCTTTCGAGTGAACTTGATTACAGACGTACCGCATTGAGCTATGGGACGCATATACGTTTTGTGAGATCTCAATAAAACGTCCTCATCACTAATCGTTACCCTCGAAGACTTGGTATGTACGGAAGATAGCTTGTTCAAAAATAGCCGCATAGTGATCAGAAAAACTGAGTTTATTGTCATAGCGGAAGCCTAGGTCTTTAACAAAAGAAATCTCAGGACATGGTCACCAAGACGTTAAGTATTCGGAATACTGGGGTAGCACCTATTCTCATATAATCTGTTTCTCCGGTGCAAGAGGTAAATTCCATTCACATGACCAATCGAAAAAACTGTCCAAAGCCTTTTAAATCCTTTCTGTATAATCCCTGCCTTCCAACTTCCTATAAACTTTGATGTCATCTGCAAATTGCTTGCAAGCAACACCATATCCTTCGAGTAAACCTGGGAGCACCGCAGTACATGTATATAGCAAAAAGAATTTGTGATAACACTACACTTTTAACAGTCACGACCTTGACAAAGGAAAACCCAATTCGTACTTGAAACGTCCTCGGAAAGAAAAAGTTTCCCAACCAACGACAAACTAAAGGATGAAATTCAAGCTGATCCAATTTATACAAAAGTTTAGCGTGATCCACCTTATCGAACGTTTTGGAAAATCCAAACAAACTACAGCACAAAGTTCCTTTCATCGAGGTACACACCAGTCATTGATACACTTAAGAAGATCCTTTCACCGGCTACCCGGGACAAATCCGTGCTGGTTGGATGGTATTATTCCATTCATCTCTGGTGACCCATTAAATGTTTCTTAAGGACCTTCTCAAACAATCTACAAATATATGAGGTTATACTGACAGGTCTGTAGTTGTCAACGGAATACGAAGGCTCCTTCTTCAAAAGAGGTGTCACAAAAGAGTGTTTCCATCTAGCTGGTACCTGGCCGAAGCATAGTGACTGATTAAAAATGTAGGCTAATGGTTCCGCTACAATGCAAGCAATCTTCTTCATGAACATTGGACGAAATTAAGTGTTAAACATAGAGTCTGGCAATTCATTCAAAAGCTCAAGAATTTTGGTACCATCTACCCAAGGGAAATCAAGCTCAGGGGCGACGACAACAGGAATAAAAACAGGCACTGAATCATTGCTATTAGATAACACCTGACAAAATTTATCCGCTTACAGACTGGCTTCATTCTCATCCGAAACTGCCACATTTCCTTCATACTTCAAACAAGAAATTTTGTATACAGCCCCAAGCTCTCTATTCGATAACTTGTAGAATCCCTTTTTGTTATTACTATTAAGAATCTTCTCACTATAGATGTTTTATTACTTCAGAAGATGAACAAACTCGCTTGAATTCGAGTGAAATCTATTCCAATCCCGATTATCCTGGGAAGCTTTAGCAGCATAGCATAGATCAAACAACTCCATTGATCAATCATATTTTGTAGATATGATGGAGGATAAGCTCTGAGTCTATAAACTCGCCTAAGAGGAACATGTAATATAATTCAATAGCATGTTGCAAATACTTAGGAACATTTCATATTTATCACTAATAGTGCTAACATTTTCGAAGCACGTCATTCTTTCGTGTGTAGTCTTGGAGTGCGGCGGCTCTCCCCGTTGTCTCTGGTGGAATCTGTGACTGCCATTGTGGCTGGGGCTAATTCGTATTTCTTCAAGTTAAAGCCACCTTCGGAAATCTCATTTCGCCTTTTCTATTCTGGACGCTGCCACCATTCTTGATTTGCCTCTTCTGATTTATTATTATTTACTTTGCGAGACTTCGTGTGGCCGGTGTCGATGTTCTTGTTGCGAGCCACCACTCGAGGTCAATGTTCGAAAGTTTATCGATAATGGATTCGTTGTCGCCTGCGGTGTTTGTTCAGGCCGCGTCGCAAGCTGCTACCTGTGCTGATATTGGATTGTCAATGAGTGGGATGGAAGATGATCGGATATTGGAAGCTGTGCTATTGTTGAATCGGGACAACTCCGTTCCAGCCCATGTCAAGCTGTTTTTGAATTACCTGCTCGATAACTCGCGTAAATAGGACTGTGAGCTGGAAAGGCTGAAAAGTTGTGAGAAACAACTCTTAGAAGAGAATTCCTCTTTAAGAAAGAGCTTTCTTCTCTGAAGGCCAATATGTCTCATATTTACTGTGAGAATACTTTAACTTACCTGATGCTACATCAGTTTAGATACCTTCTGACTCTGTACCATCTGTTCCATGTCCTCCCGTAGAATCACCTGTATCACCTGAATCACCGTTGATCGTCGATTTCCTCAAGCGGGCGCCAGTAACGTCTCCATTCGTCCTTGTCTCGAGCCAGAGTAGTCCAATGAATCCCACTCGCTCGAGGGACAAGGGGCAAAACATTCCTTTCGTTTAGAGCTTTCGTGAAGAAGTATGACCATCTCATTGGCAACCGTCCTGGTGTTGGCTTGACGTCCTGAGGGATCCAGTCCGTAACCGCCCGTCATCATTATATCGCATAATGTGTCCGGCCCACCTGATCTTCGATCTCTTGGCGTAATCAACGGCATCCCTGATCTTCGTTCGTCGACGGAGCTCGGAACTCCGGATTCCCTTCTGCAATTGCGTGTATAGGGAAATTGCGAGCGTCGTCCTTCCCACGGCGCGTTGAATGACGCTTACTGCATGCTCATCCTGCTTTCGTAGAGTCCAAGGCTCTGAGGCGTATGTCAAAGCAGGAAGGACCGCAGTGTCGAAAAGGTGAGCGCGGAGCCGGATGTTCTTTGTCTTCTTCTACTCCCTCGATATTCTTAAATGCTCCACGCCGCGCGTTCCCGTCTACTCAGCTCCGGAGCCGAGTCGTTCATCATGTTGACTTCCCGACCTAGATACACATAGCTGGAGCATTCAAAGATATTCCTTCCGTTCAGCGCAGAAGGAGCATTAGGCACCAATCCGTTGCGCATGAACATCGTCTTCGTTAAGTTCAGTCTCAAGCCGATCTTTCCACAAGCGTTGCCGAATTCGGCCAGCATTTGTTCCGCCTGCTCGGTGTTGGGTGTTATAAGCCCGATACCATCTGCAAAGCGGAGATGATGTCAACAGCGGCCGTCAACCTGCACTCCCATGCTTTCCCATTCCATATGACGCATGAGCTTTTCGAGAGCGGCACTGAAAAGTTTGGGCGAGATGGTATCGCCCTGCCGGACACCTCTCTTCACGTTGATAATGACTTTCTTGTAGAATGGTGAAATTCTGGTCGTGAAATTGTCGTAGAGCTCACGAAGCATCCTCATATATTGATTAGGAACCTCTGGTTGCCCAGGGCTTCAATTACCGCTTCTGTCTCAACGGTATCGAAGGTTTCTTCAAATCGATGAACGTAAGGCATAACGGCATTTTGTACTTCCGCGGTACTTCAATGAGTCTTGTAAGGGCGTGAATGTGATCGATTGTACTGAATCCTCTCTGAAACCCTGCTTNGCCAATCTTGGCGTTAAAATCACCGACGATGACCTTGAAGAAAGTGTGGTCTTCTCTGTAGAGCCTCTCCAGATCTATATAAAACGCTTCCAACTCCTCTTCTTCGTAGCTCGATGTTGGTGCGTAAGCAACGAAGTTGGTTAGAGCTGGGATTGAGCCGCATCTTCTTAATCGCGAACGTCCGATTCGGGTTGTTAAGCTTTCGTACGAATCGATGTTCATGGCCAAGTGCGTATTGATGAGGACGCCGCCGACGCCTCTACTGTCGCATGTTCCAAGGAACAGTTCTTCTCCAGTATCAAATACAGCGTGCAGCGGGCGATGCCTTCTGGTCTCGGTCAGTCCGATGACGTCGTACTTGATTTTTCTAGCTTGCATCATCAGGTCTTCTATACACGCTTCCGATATAAGTGTCCGTGCGTTGAAAGTACAGATCGCCATCTCAGTCCTTCTCCTTTTGGGCAGCCTGTTTCGGCCCTGAGGTTATAGCAGCCTCTTCCGAGCGGTCCTACCCAACGCTGCCTTATTGGGGGCTTCCTCAGGTTCAGGGGAATGAGGCCCATTTCTGTTACTGTTTTTGACACGAACACCCACGTGTAACTTGCCAGGCTCTAACACGTAAGGGGCCCACTCTTAGCCGTATGGACATGCGGACCTGCCCTTAATTTATACACATATATTTTTTTATAAACATAATTGAATGAATGACGAAAGCTCCAAGCAAAGTTACCATCGAACAGTAGAAAATGCTGGCGAGTTTCGGACCATACAAGCCGACATCTGATGGTTAAGACGAAAGCATGTGGCAGATCGACAGGTTGCCTTTTTTTTGGTAGGCATATATTTCCAGAGCGAGTCCTTGTTCTTAGTCCAGAACGCAGTGATTTAGACGTAATGTACCGGCGCTTGCTGTGTGCAATTTAACGCGTGAAGAACGAATTCAACCGCGACCTCGGGCGGACGGATAAGGGGGACTCAAGCAAGGAGGCCACCATCCCCAGTTCTTCGACAACTACCTAACCGCAGCTTCGAACGCGGAGCGGCAAGCCGGTCAATATAAAGCCTCCATAACTGGAAATTACCAGAACTTTGCATTGGAGCACATGATGAAATTCCAAAAAATACAAAGAAAACCGGTTTTTCAAACAAGAGTGGTGAAACGGACACGCTGACACGCCGCACGTCCACACACCCACGTTTGAGATGGTAAGCCAGCGGGTGGCTCCCGTAGAATGCGGCAGGCAAAGATCGATTATCATTGCTGGTGTAGCGGGAAATTTCAAGTTCAATTGTTGTGGAGTGCTTCACGTTTGAGATTCTTTCATATCAAAGGAGTATTTACTAGGGCATATCTTACTAAAGAAGAGCGAGTTAAACATCGTCAATCCAGGATTCGTTCCTCTCCTCGAAGTAGTTCACTGTCACAGTTCTCTCGTTCAAACCGGAATGAAATCACATCGAATTCTTTCTCTCAATTGCAGCCCTCTTCTACCCAATCTTCAAGCTAGTGGCTCCTTCTAGACAGTTAAAAGTGGTATTTCCTATTTCTTCGCCAATATAAGGTCTCTTCCGAAAAACTAGCTATGTTGACCTTTTGCTACATGATAATTATGATCTGCTCATGTTTTGTGAAACGTGGCTTAATTCATCTCACACGCTTTGTTCTAGTATTTCTTCGGTAGTTTCTGTTCTGTGCGTTGTGATAGGCTCAATCGTCACGGTGGTGGCGTGCTATTGTTAATACGAAGCAATTTCAATTATATAGCGATCTTCCGGCTCAGTTCGCGAGGCGTATAAAATTTTAGCCGTTGATATCTATTTTAACTGTGCTAAAATAAGGTTCATTGTGAGTTATAGAGCTCCGACGTGTTCGTTGTTGCTTAGTGATCAACTTTGCAATATTACTGGTGATCTTTCTTCATGTGAGCAACCATCGGTTGTCATGGGAAATTTCAACCTCCCAGATATCGATTGGTCATATGTAGCGTCATCCGGAGGAGATACTGGCTCATCTTCTGTGGGTAATCTTTTAGTTCATAATTTTAAGCAGTGTATTGGAGCCAACTAGAAAAGAAAGCATTTTGGATTCAGTATTGGCCAATGATGATGCCTTGGTGAATCATATTAAGATCGAGCCACCTGTGGGTAGTAGTGATCGCAACAGTATTTCATTTTGTGTGGTAAGCGAATGCTGTGTGCCGCATTCTACCGTTTGCGGGGATTTCTTTAATTGCGTTTTTGTGGGGTTGAAAGCGTACCTTTAGTCAGTTGCTTGGAGGGATTCCTTCGAGAATGTTAGCTCTGTTAGTGATAAATATAAAATGTTCCTAAGTGTTTTGCAACATGCTATTGAATTATATGTCCCTCTTAAGCAAGTTTATAGATCCAGAGCTCATCTTCCATTATTCTACAAAATATGATTCGTCATCGGAGTTGTATGTTTTATGCTGTTAAGGCTTCCTAGAATGATCGGGATTGGAACAAATTTCACTCGTATTCAAGGAAGTTTGATTATCATCTAAAGAAGTGCAACATCCATTGTGAGAGGGAGATTATTAATAGTAAGGAAGCCAATCTGTTAGCGGATAAATTTTGCCAGGTTTTCTCTAACAGCGAAGATTCATTGCCCGTTTTTACTCCTATCGTTGTTACCAATATGGTTGATTTTCTTTGGGTAGGTTGTACTAAAATTTTTGAGCTCTTGAATGAGTTGTCAGACTATCTTTAACACCTGATTTTGTCCCACCAATGTTCATGTAGAATATTGCTTTGTATTGCATAGCGGAACGATTAGCCTACATTTTCAATCGTCACTTGGACCGTACCATAAGAGGCATTGAACCGATGGACACAGTAAAAGCGCCATTGAATTCCGAAATTAAGGCAACAAATCCACAAACAAGTCAGTCACTGCATCAAGTGTCGACGTTTTGTCGACGAAGTAGGCCCTTAATAGTGTTCGGCATGCCCCGACGTGCTATGAACCGTCGCAACGCGCTAGAAAATCCTTCAGTTGCCAGGCTTCCGACAATTCCGAGTTGTATCAGGCGGATAACGGTGCAACAAAAAATGCAAGCGTACAGCTTTATCCTTCTTTCATTTTCCTTGCACTGTGGTAGATCGAAAAAACGACACTAGTATGTTGGAAGGGATTGCTTTTTAGCACTCGTCCTTCTAATAAGTCGTGGTGCCTGGATATTAATATAGTAAAGCATTGAAACGTCGACACTTGATGCAGTGACAGACCTGTTGGTGGACTTGTTGCCTCAAGTTCAAAATCCATTTTCGCTCTCTTACTGTAACTATCGTATGTTCAGTGCCTCTACGGTACGGTCCATGAGCTTCTTATATGAAGAGCTCTGCGAGAGCTGTGTTTGGTGCAATAAGGATGGTTTTTTTTTGTTGGAGTTAAACGTGAAATTTCCCATTCTTCATTTCGAGGGCCAAGTATTGCGCTTGTCTTATCGTGAAGAGTTTTCCATATTTTTGCGATGCTCTTTTGTACAGAAAAGTGACTGGTGGTTGCGGATTAGTACGTATCTTCCCGCCCGTACTTCACTTCCGTCGACATTGCCGAGTAAGACCGAAACCTC